GTTCTAAGGCTGCGTGAGCCTGTTTTATTTTCAACTCTACTCATCCTTCTCTCCACGAGCCCTTTCATCCTTCAAGTCTTGCTCAAGAGGATCACTTAAATAGTCCAATTTGTCCTTTAAGTGTTGGGTGTCACATGACTTTGCACTGATCTCCTCCACCTGCAGAAGCAGACATGGCAGGAGATCCATTACCACTTCCCATCAGTCCATCCAGACTGAGGCCTTGGAAGGCTCCGAAGAAGGAATCGTCCTTCACTGGGGCTCGTTTTCTGGAGGCAGTTTTCTGCTGAACGTGGGAAAGAGGGTGAAGATTGTTATATGTGGACAAGCAACAACAACAAAAAAATCCACACATTTATGTTGTTACTTTGATTTTACTGCTCACTTACCCGTGGGAGGCAGTGGTGGCTCCTGAAGTGAGTTCTTTTGACCGTCCTCTCTGCGTTCTTCTTCGCGACCACGGCTTGCTGCCGTTTCCTTTGGCAAACACCACAGAAGCTACATTAGGCACTGCACATGGGCAAGCAGCTTATTCATGTGAGGAACAGCCTTATCCTCACTAAGCCAATACAGTCTGGCCAAAAGTCTCAGCTGGATAATGAGACAGTAACTGGATACTTTCATTTCTTATTGGAAAACAAATTCATATCACTATAAGAGACTGGAATGCCTGTTTTAGAGCTGACTGTACAAAAACATCAGATTTGATTATTTCCCATGATATGTTCAGATCTTATGCGCCACCTTACCTTTCTCTTTTCAGTTCATCCTGGTACATTCTGAGCCAGGAGTCTGGGACTTTCTGGCTGTTGCAAGGAAGGCTTCTCCTCCTGCTGACGCTCTTCCTGCGGGTGAAGCTGCTCCGGCGGACAGATTGGCTTTTCTTGTTCCCCATTTTGGTGGCAGCGGCGGATTTTCCAGACACGCAGCTGGTGAACTGCTTCAGGGGAGCACCCAGTGACATGAGAGAATCCATTTCTAAGAGTTGTCTCGTGCTGGTGTTGTCTGTGGTGAATCAGGTTCCGGGGGTCTGTGAGAGCATACAGTATAATACACCGATGTCTTGACTCTTAGGACAAAAGTCAGCGTTCTTCTTCTTTTAATTTACACCAGGAATGAGGCTTTTATCTGCAAATACAAAGCAGAACAATTATGTCAACTAAGAATATCAGCTTTTATTAACAGCATTATTGTCTTATTATTGCCTTCTTTTCAGAAAAGGCACCTGAACACATCTACCTAAATTAAAACAAAATTTTAAGTTAACCTGTAGTCTTCTACACACTTGTTTCTAAGGCTGTCACATTTTAAAAGTGCAAATAGACATAATATACTGGCAGTAGTAAAGAAATAATGGGACTCACCTGTGTGTTATCTTCTATAGACACAATCAGCTGATAGTAAATCTGGAAAAGATAGAGTCCATTTGTTGCATCGCTTCCAGTCCTTCAGTTTGTGTACCTGTATGCAGCTCTGCTCTGTCACTGTCTGCTCTTATGGAGATTTGACTGATGACCTCAAACAGGATTAGCTGAACATAAGAGTTAATCCCATTAACAACAGAGCAGTTCCAAACAACCCTGCACAGGAAAACAGCTGCTTGTTTACACCTGACAACTGAAATAGCCAATGTAGACATACAGTTACAGCCAGACTTCAAATAGTCTGGCTGTACTTTGTTAAAACAAGGTCACATTCTCATTTTCAGTAGGAAACGCCTGGAAAAGTTACAGCTGATGAGATAATTTGGTGATATAGTTGGTGAGAAAGGAGGTCAGACAGATGGAGCGTGTAAGGTGGAAGGTGACGTTTTTCTGTGACGCAGGGACGATTTCAAGACAGGAAAACAGCTTCACTGACTGGAGCCATTAAGCCCCTGAGTCACAAAGTTGAATGACTCATTTCATTCATCAATTCACTCACTCACTGAACTCAGAAAGGTCTAGAGGGGCTAAGACTCCAAATCCATCTGCACTTGCACAAATTACTTGTTGCTTCAGGAGGCAACAATTTGAAATAAAAAACTGGATTCTTAACATATTCCAATATTAATAACTTCAAATTTATATTTGCGAATTTTAAATTTACAACAAAAATACAGAAATTCTTCTAAGCACTGACATTTTCTGACCTGGAATGTATAAGTCGTCAAACAACAACCTTATTACTCATGATATCTGCACATATATCATTTTCTCTGACCATGTGACAGGATGGGATCAAGGTTGAATTACCAACCAAGCAAAGTGGGCAACTGACCTATGTGACCCAAGCCTCTAACCTCCGGGGGGGGAAGGGTCCAAGCATCTGCGTGTGTCAATTTAAGCACTATTTTAACTGCCTGGATTATGTTTTAGTCTTGAGTTATGTTGTGTGACAGGGATTGAGTTACATTTTTGGGTGTAGATCTATTCATTCACAGGACAGAAGTGAGGTGAGAAAAATGGGGACAGTGCATGAGGTTAATAAAGCAATGTTACGGACAGATGGGGGAAGCTTACGTGACGAAGCTTCATTACACCTGTTGCAGCAGATCTTCGGTGGTTCCCTCTCTTCCTGTCTCGACAGGTGACAGCTGAGCTTAGGAAATAAAAGAGATTAGTTCCCAAGAAAATGTAACTAGCAACACTTGAAGGGTAATAGGAAGCATGCAATACCTGTACATGACTGCCTAGAGGAAAAGTTGTTCTACAATCAAAACTTAAACTGAGCTACTGTCTAGAGAAGCAACGAGGAAAGAGCAAGTAAGCAGTTAACTTTAAATAGAACAATGCAAACACGTTCAGCCTTCACTTACACATTTCAGACACCCCTCTGATGTTTTTGCACATCATCCAGCAGTGGCATTAATCAGTGAGGGAAGAGATGGACTCAGACACAGTAATGGTATTTAAAGACAGAACGCCTCCCTTTTGCTACCAGAGGCCGAAACTGATACTGAGAGCACCATAAGCCTTTGGCAAGGAGGACTTAACTTTAATTCTACACAATAATACATATATACAGTTTTATACGCTTTAATTTCATACAAAAAAAACAAGTCATGTACAGGTGGGGGGTGGAGACTATGACCTATTGGAACTTAAAATAAATACTGTCAACAGGAGTTGTGTGTGGCTCATTGGCAACCACCACGAGCTGTGTGCTTAACCTCAATGGAGAGACTTCAGGTCTGACCATATCACACATGGACAAGGCAGTTTATCTTTTTTGTGTTTTAAAAGTATGTCAGAATGCTCCCATGACTAATGCTGAACTACTAAGAAGCCACTGAGAAAAACATTAAGATGAACGTGTCACCCACACCATCCCACCCCTACACACACACACACTCTCACACTCACACACCCAGAAAGCATTGCATAACATAAACATATCTATCAATAAGACAGGCCCGATGCCTTTGTGTGGAGTGTCCATCACCATTATCATCTCATTGGCGAATAATAACAGGTCTAACGACCGAATATTAAGGGCAAGAGTCTCCATATAAGGGATAATCCTTTTATACATATAAAAAAAAAAAAACCATATGCAATGCAAGTGCTCACTTAACAAAAACGTCAACAAAAACTTGAGACACTTGTCTCTGCTGGAGATATTAGTAATTTCCACAGAAATGTGATATTCAATCTGAATGATCTGATGGTAGCGTAATAGAATATCTTGCATGACTCCACGTTTAGAATTATGAGGGTGAGGACTTGCGCTGCATATACAGCTCTATCTCCTTTTTACCCTTTCCTTCGACTTCAGAATCGGAAGACATTTCTTCTACAAAACTGAGTTACTGTATAACTGATTTTGTAGTGCTTATTTCCTTAGAAAGGTGAATTACTTTCTTTACATGCTGATGAAAACAATAGATGGACGGATGGAAGAGAAGAAGGTGGTTCCGAAGTCAAAAGGAAGACAGGAGCTGCATAGAGGGCTACTTTTGAGGCTGTGGCTGCTAGAAAAGATTCATTTTGACTCCTTTCCAGTCTTTTGTTGATTATTTTGGTCTCTCTGCTGCAGGAACATGCCTCTTGTGGCTGCAGAGGTGGATGTCGGAGGGGGCAGGGTGGAGGAGCAAGAAGTTATGGTGTCCATGCTTTAATGACAAACGACAGAACATCTGAAGCCCCGATTTATTCAACAGTTCACCTGCTCCACATATGAAAGACTTGATATCCTCTGTTATTCAGTCTTTGGAGGCTCGCGGGTCACCGGCTGATGTCCCGGTTGCCCTCCCAGTTCTTGCTGCCCGCTGCCTCGCCACTGCCCCCGTTATCAAAGAACGGGTGTTTGAGGGAGTCGGCCAGCACCAGCCTCTTGGAGGGCTCGTACTCCAACATGCTTTCAATGAGGTCAAACAACTGGTGGTGTTCCTCCGCCTCCGACAATAAGTACCGCTGACAGGGAGAAAGGAGAATGGAGAAGGGGAAAAAAGAAAGATTAAGAGGAATACTGAGAGACTGTCAAGGGGGGGGAACATCAATACGAAACAAAATACACTTTTGTTCTTTCAGCTGTTTATGATCATATTTATTCCTCTTCCCATCCAGCCCTCTTACCCGTAAGGGTTTGCAGTTTTCTCTGACGTATTTCCCTGCTGAAGAGCTTTCATCCCAGTCCAGACGGCCACGATAGAAATACTTCTGCTTCCTAGGAGGGTACAGAGATCAGCGTGAGATGTGTGCGAATGTTGGTTTCTATATAAAAATGTATATATTTAGTGTGTGTTCTCTTTACTCACCTCGTCTTACGAATCATCCGAGAGGGCACTGGTCCCAGGATTCTCTCCATCATGGCCAGATGCTCCCTGTTGTCATGAGTCTGGAAGAAATAGCAGTTCGACAACCATGACTCAGCAAGAAACAGCACACAAACCCTGCATTTTCTTAAAAGTGATACGTGTAAGCATCACCTCTGACACAAGAATGGCAATGAGAATTTTTTTTTGGGATATTTATTTTGGTACTGCTACTTTGTTTTAGACACTATTGTCAGTTTTATGTCCCATTTCGGTGCTATTGGGAAGGGTCTGGGAAAGTGGGGTGGGGGGTGGGAGACATTGTTTGTGCTCGTCATGTACTGATAAAAGAAAACTAATAACAGTGTTTAACACTGAAACAGCACAAGGGAAAGGGAAAGACTGATCCAAAAGACAATCATGGTTTAACCTTACATACAGTGTCAAACAGACAGTCAGAGCTCACAACTAATACCAAGAGGTAATTCCTATCAAATTAACATAACGTGCTATGTACATGTAAATGTTTCACTGTTGTTCACTGGTGAGATACAGGCTACATAAATTAGATAGACAAATAAAACGATTAGAATAAGATCTGACTGAGGCCAAGGTCCTGACTGCAGCCTGCTGAGAACAGTAGGTGCCACTGTACCTGAAACAAGGTGAAGCCCAGGTAGTACTCAAACAGGATACAGCCAATGCTCCACACGTCACAGGGATGGCTCCAGCCCAGCTCTGAGGGACGAAAACATGCAATAAATTAAAACAACTAGAAAAAGGTGTCATATGTGGAGACTACTCCAAGCTGACATCACAAACTTTACTCAGCATTTTATCTACATAGGGCTATCCAGTCTATGGCATAAATACCATGTGTTTCCAAGAAAAGATTAGAACTATAGAGAGCAATAATCCATAGACTAAAACTAGTGTTAATTTGTACTCCTAACATTAACTGGCCAAAATTGATCTCGACACCTACTGCTCCCCATCAGTGACTTGCAGTAGTACTGTGTCGTGTTATTGTGATTATATATGTGAATTGACCTGAATCAGAATTTCCTGCAGAACAAGGCACCTTAAAGTGCTTTTTGCAGGTAAAAGAGGTCTAGAGAGCAAAGTAGGAACAACAACTGAGTTGTGCCATGTGAAAAAGTCACAAGTGTTTATCTCCAAACTGAGTTCCCTGTTGAATGTCTGGACCTTATTTGGCTGGAACTCTGATAGGTGGAAATAATTGAAAAATCCCTTCTGATAAGTTGTGTTTTAATTAATTTACGGCCAAAAGCTAATAGGCATCCTCACCTAGTATGACCTCAGGAGCACGGTAATGCCGCGTGGACACAATCGTGCTGTGGTGCTCATGATCAAAAGTGGCACTGCCAAAGTCCACCACTCGTACAGCCGTGCTCTTAACCGTCCGCTCTTCTCGCTTCTGCAAGAAAGAAAAGTACTCTTTAGAGCTGTTGATCTTTAAATCACCAAAGTATTGTGCATGTTTCTTTTTTTTGGGTCAAACTGCAGGGTTGGGTGTGTATTCTACTACATCTTACCTTCTCTACATTGAAGGACATTGTGAAGTCTGAGTTTACAAAGAGGATATTCTCAGGCTTCAGGTCTGTGTGTGTCAGCTTATTGTCATGGAGAACTACAGAGAAACAACAGGAGTAAATTGGTTATTGAGTCTTCAATTATTACATGTTGATCTTTAAACTACTTTACGCAATCCAGCTTCTAATCTCGCTGTGTACTGATCTTAATTCCTTTCAGATTAGATGAGGCATGCTACAACCTATAATGAGGATGATGATAATATACAGTGTCATAAATAAAAATAAATAAATGAGAACAGAAAAACGTTAATAGACATACTCTTCCGCTTGGCCTTTGGTGCTATAATGCCCCCATGTGGCTACAGGCTGTCCACCACAAACAACAGCCACTCAAACAAATTGTAGACAACTGATGAATAAACATTATGTGATGGTGCATTTGTTGGAAAACTACACTCATTTTAGGGACACTAAGACAAAAAACTCAAATCACACAAAAGGTAAAAACTTACATTTTACAGCGAGGCAGATTTGGTAGGCCATGTGTCTGACCTGACCAATTGAGTAGGGCAGGTAGTTGTTTTCCTTTAGAAAGTCGAAGGTGCTGAGAGCAAGTAGCTCAAACGAGATACACATGTGACCATGGTAGTCAAACCAATCATACATCTGTACACAAAGGCTGCGAGATAAACAGGATACAGGAGATCTGTCAGTGATGTAGTCGGTGATATATGCAAATGCCACTTTAATAAGGCAACAGCCAAATCAAACACTTTTACAGAGACTAATCTAGTAAATGAAAGCTTCCAGGGAGGCTTTTGCCAAACATACTTTCATTAGTTTAACTAGTTAACGTAAGTTGATACAAAATTCAATTGCAGCACCACTATACTCACAATTTGTTATCAGGGTCCTTTTCATTAATCTTCTCCAATACATTGATCTCCAAGCGAGCTGCTTCCTTGTATTTCTCCACATTCTTGATAATCTTCAGAGCAACATGGGCTCCTCCCCTGTGAAACATAAAATAGTATGAAGCCAAAAACAGAGGTAATGAAGCACACAGCATGCATAAGATTTGTATGTAAAGTTCACAGTTCCCACAAAGGAACTGAACTGCAGACACGAACGTGACATTTAAATTTAGTTTACAGTAAAAACACAACACTTGATAACATGACTATGATAGCAAAGTCTGTGAACTCAATGTTCGTTATATGGTGAGAAAAATGATAAGTCACAACCTTTAAGTGTCACATACTTAACTGCACTATGTGATCAACAAAGGCAGCAGGAAAAACAAAACAGCACCTCTGAAGCTGTGTACAATCTGATGGAGTAGTGTTTAAATTTAAAACAGCCACTGGTAACAGCAACAAGGGTAGTTAACAATAGTAACGGTAGATGTTAATACCCTTCTCTTAATCTCATTTGTCTTGGGGCTAACCCCGGAGAGGCGTGACACAAACACTGCTCTCTACAAACCAAGCACCGTGAGCAGGTATTCCCTACTGGTGGTCTTGGAAAAATAAGACACCAGAGGCTGACAGCTGTTGTTTTTCTGTGTTAACTGACACACACCTGCGGTGGTCAATGCACTGCATCACCCTCCCAAAGGTGCCTTCCCCCAAAGTGCTGACAATCTCATCTGCAACACAACGCAGAGAGAAAAGGAAGAGAGGGGGACAGCAGGGAAAGAAAGAACAGGAGCGTTAGACATGTGGACTTCAGCAGGAATACAAAATACAAAAGTGAAGACAGGCGGATCAATTCTAGCGCCCATCCCCTTTTCAAATGACTGCCTATTTAATCTGGCAGGCTTGAAACACTTTGAGGTAATCTGATAACTGAATGCAAACTGTAGCACTAAGATGCATGTGAAGAAAATAAGGGGGCAAATATAAAGCGCTCCCTTCCACTGATGACTAATTTGCAGCCATCAAAAATAAGGCCACATCCTTTTAAGACGTGGGTGTCTTTGCCCAAAAGGACACGGGGGGGTAATGTGTAAAACTGGACGCATGATTCTGAAAATGACAAATGGGTTAATATAAAGTGTCTATATGTGTGTGAGTTGTGCTTTAAAAAAAAAAAAAAAAAGACTAAATAGGTGATGTGCATGTTAGATTTCTAGTAAAATAATAAAAAGACATTCCCTGAAACCCTCATAGTGGAAAATAGCTATCTTAAATTACAGATTTAGAACTGTAACTGAGTTTTTAAATCTGAAACGCAACAGAGACAAACAGCTGCAAATGGGATTCTATGTTTAGGAAAGTCAAGTAACCTGTGAAACATAGAAAATGCTCCACAGTTTAAAATCCTAGAACAAAATGGAGAAGGTATCTAAAGTCCCTCTCAAAATCTCCAACATTCTTGCAATCCACCCTGCTATTTCAGCTAGAGCGAAGAGCATTCTAGCAAGGACTCATCATCATCATCATCATCATCATCAGGCACTCCCATGTCATGTAAATGCTCTATGCTTAATACTCATATGGAGAAGGGTTACGATAGAGTAGTGGCAGTGAGTACATCTCTCTTGCAGGACGTCCCCACTCCGACAGATCAGGTGCCCTTCCTCGTCGTCCCTCACACTCAGTGCCCGTGTCCGGCTGTTGCTCCGCTGTTTTCACACCCAAACCACCATCAGAAGGTCACGACACGACCGGAGGGAACAGGGGGTTTTCAAGGGCAACCGCAGCCACGGCATCAGGCGGCACAGGTAGACGAGGAGGGAGGAGGAGGGTGGTGTCGGTGGTAGTTGATGTAGTGGTTGTAGGTGGGTTTGGTGGTCATGGGGCGATTCACGCATGACACCACGTGAAGGAAATATATAACGATAGGAATATAGTGCAAGGGAACAAGTCAAAGATCACATGTTGTCCTCTGCTCCTCTCCCCCCTCTATCTTTAAACCACAGCTGCTTACAAACAAGGAAGCAACTGGCATATCCATTCATCAACGCAAAAACCAGTTAAGACAATAATATGGCTAATTCAAAACTTATCAGGCTGACTTTTCAGATTAAGCAAGATGGAAAATAAAATGAGAGGACCCTATGTAATCAAGCAGGAAATATTTAAAGATATCCCCCAACATATATATATACTAAGTCAAATGTAACCCCCTGCTCACTTCAATTTATACTACTTAATACATAGGTGTGGTTAAACATAACACACACAAAAAAATGCATTTTAACAAATATAAGACATCTTAAATGCCGATAAATTCTAACAAAAATCTGCATTCAATTTAAATCTAACTTTTGCGTGGTGTTTGGTAGAACATTTTCACTTTTTTCAGCCTATCTGCACTAAAGTTAACACGTGGCCAACCAACTATTTCTTCAGGCATTTGGGCCTTTTCCAAAAGAACATAGACAACATACAAAATTACATTTTAACAAAAAGGTAGGGCCACAGACACTGAATTATGTGTGACCAGGTGTAACTAGGCTTTCAAAAGGAAGAGTTAAGAAAGCTGTGATGGGTGTGTATCTGAACAGCAGCAAGAATTAGTGGTTGATTATCAATGAACTACAGAAAAAGTTTGCATAAAAATGAAAATGCTCTGCCAAAAAGAAATGCCAATTTGAGCAAAAGCCACTTAAACAAAAAACAAAACAAAACCCTTCTTACGGAACAAAAACAAATCATAAAGATTGTGCTACTTACCAATTCTAGGAGCTGTGAGGAAGAAATGGTTAGAGAAAGACAGAGACAGAAAGAGCTGAGTGGAAGAGACAGAGATGGAAGGAGAAGGATGAGGAGAGTTAAAACACAATCTCAGGTCTGGCTGTACTCACCGAGGAGGATGGGCTATAGGACCTGGTTCTACGCCGCCTTCGTTTGTGCTTACGCCTGCTGCCTTTCCGCCGGTACGACTCGTCCCGCTCGCGCTCCCTCTCGCGGCCACGTCGGTAGTCGTACAAGTTTGGGGAGAAGTCGCGTGGGTAGTAACTTTCAGCTGCTCCGTGTGGCTCCCGTTCTCTGTCGCGGTCTCGATCTCGGCTCTGATCCAAGCGTCTGTATCCCTCGCAGTATCTTCGGTCAAACGGCCGGTGCTCCGTAGAGCGATTGTCATAGCTACGACTGAATGAGAGGAGATAGGCATACACTGAAACCTGAAGGCTGATAAGCAACCAAACCTAAAAAGAAGATTTACAGAATTGGTACCATAAAATAAATGTTCAGCAGGACAAACCAAACAAATTTCACTTCACACACAAACGTACCTCCTTGAGCGTGCATAGCTTCCTTCCTGTCTGTGTCCCCGCCCTCTTCTGTCTCGGTCTCGGTCTCTGTCACTGCTGGAGGAGTACGTAGGCGATCTTCTGTGCCGGTGTCTTCGCCCTCTGTCTCGGTCTCTGTAACGGTCTTGGTAGCTGCTTCGACTGTCTCTGTCCGAAGACGAGTACCGTCTGGTGTGAGGCATCTAGTGGGGCAAATTAAACATTCATCAGAATTTAAACAATAACAAAAAATCTCTGGCATAAATGTGCTTTAAAGTTCTTTAAATGGTTGTTGAATTTATAATTACTCCTGAACCGGTTTTTCAGTGGGACAGCTGCACTATTGCTTATTCCATTTCTGCCAGTCACACACTGTGACATACATTTACTTCTGTCTATATATTATTATAAAAAGGTACATACTTAGGCTCTTATTGTATTTTTTACTTACATGTATACACCTAGATATCCATTTTTTAATATATATTTATTGTAATATTATTATTTATATTCTTTAACATTGTATGAACACCTTGAGCAACTAACAGACAAATCTTCCCCTGGGGATCAAAGTATTTCTGATTATGACAATGAAAATGAACATTTGATCTAAGATGAATTAAATAAGCAAGTAACTGGATTTTTTTTGTTGTTTTTGCACATATTTGACTGTAATGTAATGTTTAAAGTTAACTTTGCCTTTGCAGAAAGTGTTTGGAGGCCTCCATTTGAAACACACACGGGTCAACACTTCCACAAGCATCAAGATAAAGCTGTGCAGTTTATAAATAAGGGCAGAACAAAGCTAGAGACAGACAACTGTTGAAGCGGGCCCTGGATCAAATGCGCGGATGCATTTTAATAACCCTGTTGCACGACCCGATATTAAAAACCCACCACTGGTTTAGCGTCAACACAGTGTTGCTTTAGACGACTGTAAACAATGCACACATTGACTGCAGCGCTATAAATACACGACTACGCGTTTGTTAGGTTGGTGAGCTGCCTGCGCGGTAACCAACCTAACACTAGATTCATAACACAACAGCTCTGCAAGTTCATAAAACGCTTCTACGAGCTGCTGTGTTTTTTTTTTTCTCCTTCCATTTAAGACGAAGCGCCAGTAACACTGACATTAACGGTGTTCATCTCAATACGCACTTACGACATGAAGCAGTCTCACTCATTACTTTCCGCCGTCTTTAAACACCAACACACTCACGGCGAAAACAGCCCCAAAACTCAAACCTGCCAGCTAAACTAACGACGTACGGGCTTGTTAGCAGCCTCTGCTAGCAGCATTAGCGAATGTAAATAATTCGGCCGCCATCTTAGCCTGGCTAACGTTACGTTCGTCAAGCAGCCGTGCTATAAAACCCGTTTGGCACGATTGTTGGCTCACTTAACGGCACGCAGCGGCCCGGGTGATACACTACCGTTTTCGCAGCGAGGCCTGTGCGCTTGTCCCACAAGAAATCCGTGGTAGCGTTCCAGTTTTCTCCTTTATCTTCTTGTTAGCCCGATGTTCAAGGCTTTCCTTCCCCCCTGCCTTCCCCGTACAGTTCTGGTTCAGACTGGTGCCGCTACCGCCGCCCTGCGCCCACACTGGGATTCGATCCTGTGTGTGTCTGTGTGTACAAACAACCACAGACACAACCTGCAACAGCTACAACTAAATAAATGTGTTTTAATAGTCCGACTGGGCCCGTTTGGAGAGATGTTATTCAGAAAGGTGTTTGTTTTTGACTCTTTGTTTGTGTTTTAGTAGTTCAGTTAGTTTGTGTCCGGTTCTGTTGTTGCAGTCTCTCAGACGCAAATTCATAAAATGCACAATATAAATATTACTTTCTAAATGTATAAGTGTGTGTATGTGTATATAATATATATATATATATTTATATTATATTCTAAATTGAATTTAACTTTCAACAGTATATAAGTTCCATGACGTGTGTTGTTATTATTATTAATTATATTTATTTATTATGTTGTTGTTGTGTTACGTTATTCAGATTTATACATTTATGTTTTCTATCTAATGTAAAGTTAAACTTTTAAATACAGCGTACAAAGGCAGAGACACACGCTGAGATAGGGTGACGTCGCCTCCTCTTCATCCTCATCCTCTTCTTCCTCTCGGTAAATAAACATGGCCCGGTCCCTCTTTATCAATAATTATTTTAGATTTGTTGATTAAATCAAATTATTA